CCAAAAATGGTTTTTTGAGGTGACATCTACCCCTGGTGAAGATGCTGTGATGATTGTCGAGATGACAACAAAAGATTTAGAACATTACATAAAATTAGTTGATAAAGCAGCAGCAGGTTTTGAGAGGACTGACTCCAATTTTGAAAGAAATTATACTGTGGGTAAAATGCTATCAAATAGCATCGTATGTGACAGAGAAGCTTTTCATAAAAGCATCAATCGATACAGCAAAATTCATTGTTGCCTTAGTCTAAGAAATCACTGCAACCAACCCAACCTTCATCAACCATCACCCCGATGAATCAGCAACATCAACATTAAGGCAAGACCCTCTACCAACAAAAAAATTACAATTCATTGAAGGCTCAGATGGTGGTTAAAATTTTTTAGCAATAAAGTATTTTTTTTAAAAGATTTAATTGGGGAATTGGGGAAGGGAACATTGTGTTTTTCCAGGACCCATCAGCTCCAAGTCAAGTTGTTGTCCTTCAATCTTAGTTGTGGAGGACACAGCTCAGCTCCAAGTCCAGTCACTGCTTTCAATCTAGTTGCTGGGGGCCAAGGTTGGGGGTTGGGGTGTGTGTGCAGCCCACCATCCCATGTGGGAATCGAACCAGCAACCTTGTTGTTAGCAGCACGTGCTATCACCAGCTGAGCCGCCCGTTGGTAGCTCAGCGGCCACTTAGCTCAAGTTGCTTTCTTCAATCTAGTTGCAAAGGGCGCAGCTCACTGGCCCATGTGGGAATCAAACCAGCGACCCTGTTGCTCAGAGCTCATGCTCTTAACCAACTAAGCCTCTCAGCCGGCCCATAAACCTAACTTTTATATGCACTGGGAAACTAAAAAATTTGTATGACTCACTTTATTGCAATATTTGTAATAAATCAGTTTTGCAAAAATCCATCTGTAAGCCCAAAATCTTTCCTTTCCATCATCCAAGCTGTTTGGCAGTACCCTTTCATAGTGACACTCACTAAGCTCTGTGATTTGCTTTGTCCAATAACACAGTAGGTTTGATTGGCCATCAAATCAAGGGAAAGGAAGAAGAACGTAACTTTTGTTTTGATTTTATTTGTTTGGGGGGGTAAGCGTATGGTGGGGTAGCATAAAGACAAGGTGGGGAGAACAGGTTGGGGAGAAGGGTAGCAATGAGCATGATTTCCACAGGGGCCCTCAGAAACTTAGAAGCTGATCCCTGGAGTTGCCCAAAAAGAGAGGGTATCCACGACTAGGGGATTTCTGTGCCCAGGAGAGTCTTAGGAGTGGAGCCTTCATACCCTATCAGCTATACTTGCACTTGACTAGCAACATGCCCATGATCAGTGTCCCAGGTTCTATACCTGTTTCTTCTCATAGAGCACCTTGTTCTTCCCTGAACTTGCATTAAACTAGTGATTGCCCCACTACAAGACTTTGCTAGATCTCTCATTCATTACCTTATATGAGCATCCTCTGTAACCATGCCCTAAGACTCCTGAGTGTGAGGATGAGGATAGCTCCTGATTCAGTTAGTTGGGCTATTTAGAGTTTTCTAATGCATGCTAAGAAGCTGAACAGAAGTATCTTGACTCTTCTGGTTTTTGTGTAGTGTGAAATTCATTTTCCTGGAAAGTTATTTATTTATTTAATTTTAATTTTTTTTTAGCTGGGCCATCCTGCCTACTGGTTGGCAGCTCAGCTCGGGCCCATGTGAGAATCAAACCAGCGACCCTGTTGCTCAGAGTTCGCACTCTTGAGCGAGCTCTAAGCAACTGAGCCACTCGGCCGGCCAGAACGTTTTTTACTCAATGAATGTTTGCACTTTGAAAGACCGTATACTTTTTAAAATGTACATATAATTGACATGTAACATTATATTAGTTTCAGGTATATAACACCTAAATTCCTTACTCTAACCTGCTTAAATCTTATCGTGTTTTCCTTCAAAAACTTAAAAACTGAACATATATTCTACTTCCTAAGTGTCAAATATTATTCTATTCACAACAATCTCATTAGTAGTTATATTATTACCCCCTCTTTCAGAATGAGGCAACTGAAATCAACACAGCTAGAAAGTGGCAAAGTTGGATTTGACTGAAGCTGACTAGCTTCTGCTCTTAACCACTATGCTGTATCCTGCCTGTCAATGTTACAATTTGGAATTATTGTATTAACTTATCTTTTTGTTGCTGTTTGTTTTTGCTTTTTTGTCTATTTTGTTAGTTTGTCCCTCCCAGGGCAGAAGCTCCATGAGATCAGGGACCATTGACCATTGACACCACATTGGTCATTGATTTCACAGTGCCTGCTATTGTACTTAGGACATAATGGGTACTTAATAAACATCTGTTTAATAATTGAATGAATGACTGAAAGCAAGACAATGCAATATTTATGCTGACAAAGTTTGTTTGGTGAGAGGTTGGTTTACCGTACTAAGTCACAAAATACAATTTTTCCTAAATATCTGTAAGTAAGAAAGTTCCATAAGTAATTGGAGGCTGTTAGGATAAAGAAATATGAGGAAACCATACTTCCAAGAATGGTTTAAGAAATAATTTTCTAGGTAGGTGTCATTGATATGTCTATATCTATGTCTATCTCTATCCAAATCTATTCTTATTTATCTGTATTTATACCCACACCTACATTTCTATGTCTATATCGTATATATACATGATATGTATAATATATATATATATGAGAAAGAGAAAAATATAACTACACAGGACTACAAGAGTATGATGTATAGTATTAGGAAATAAGTTTAATTTCTGCAAGTTAAATACCAACATAGAAAGGATCAAAGTTGTAATAAGCAAAATCTTAAAGTGTTAGGATAGCGTATATGTTTGAATGAAGTCAGACTGACTATGTTAACAAAAACGTATCAATCAGAAAAATGGTATAGGACAGACAGAGCATAAGGAATGGGCAACAATGGAACTTAGAAAAAGGAGAGTCACAGAGAAAAAAATCTCTTCTTCATACTATCCAAAGCAGCGGTTCTCAACTTGTGGGTCGTGACCCCTTTGGGGGTCGAATGACCCTTTCACAGGGGTCGCCGGGTACTCATATGTGGGCGTATCTGCATGTGGGCCTGGAGACGGATAGAGGAACAGTGTCTCGGTTCCTAAGACCATCGAAAATATGTGTTTTTCTGATGGTCTTAGGCGACCCCTGTGAAAGGTTGAGAACCGCTGATCAGGAGGAAAGGGAGACACAGGCAATCTACTCCAAGTGCTATGATCCCTTTGAAAAGGCTATGCTTATACTTTGTGGAGGGATGGCCAGGGGCATACTGGGAGGAAGGCAGTTTTAGCTAACTGCAATGACAGGTTTCTTCTCTTTTCTCTTCAGCAGTTCATGATCATTCACCGTTGTGACACAGGGTAGGCGCTATAAGGGCACACAAGTGGGACTTCTCAGCTGCCATGCATGGGTGAAATGATGTCATTATCATCTCTGCTTCTCTGCCAGATTAGAGTTCATGGTGGTCGCAAGTCTCAAGTGTTTTCTCCATTTATTTATTTACCTATTTATATTTATCGCAGAATATCACGTTGTGATTGTCAGCATCTGGAAGGGAGCTTTCTTGTGTTTTGGGAGGCGCCGGAAATCACACCATCAGCAACTGCCGTTTTTACTTGACCATGCACACAATGATCCGAGAGTGGAGTCCTGCTTTCTACCTGAGGAAGCTGTGTGTGTGTGTGTGTGTGTGTGTGTGTGTGTGTGTGTGTGTGTGTGTGTGTGTGTGTGTGTGTTGAGCACCTTCTGGCCGCTGAGAAAAAACTGTGTAATAAGTGCCACCCAGGAGAGAGGGAAGGAACTGGTCAGACCCTTGGTCTATTGATCCCCCAGCTTCCCAGTTACACAGAAATGGCTTTTTGCTTCTATTGCTTCCTTTCTTCTTGGTTGTTCTCTATTCTTGTGTCTTCTCTATTCTTATTCTCTTTCACTGACTTTGCCTTCACCTCCTTTTGTGACTTTTCATATTGGTTCATATTGATGAAAGTGGTTATTTTTTGAGCAATTAGTATTTAGTTGCTGGATTTGTATTCGTAATGAGTGAAGGTGAAGCCAACATCATGACCCAGTTCATGATGGAGTTATGATTAAATTTGGTTTCACCACTTCAGAGTTGCCTGACTTCGGGCAAATCACTTAACTTCCCTGTGTCTATCTTTCATCATCTGTAAAGTGGGATCATGGTTCCTACCTCAAAGAGTTTTTAGGATGGGAGAATGTATGTAGCATACTCAGAGGAATACTTGGCACATGGTCTCAAGAACTATTAGCTCTTATTATTTGAAAAATGTGTATTGTAGGGTATTGGAAATTTCATGCAGTTTCCTTTACTGAAGAATCCATAGAATACGTAATGGCACCTAGAGGCTTCTTCCTAGAAACCTTGGGTGAGGTCAAGCAATCTTTAGAGAAGACTTTCCTGAGGTTGGCAATAAAGTTATTTGTTGAGAGTGTGAGGCGAACCAGGCCAAGCTAGGGAAAGGAGGGGAGAGGAGGAAGAGGGAAGGAGGCAGGGGTGGAAGAGTGAGCCGTGGGCGCGCCCGGCAGGCTTTGGAAGCACAGCGTTTGGGTCCAGGAGTCCGGGGAAGGAAGCTGAGAGCTCAGGCTGCGAGAAGGATGCTCGGGCCCCGAGCGCGTTAGTTACTATTTGCTTTTCTTTGGGAAAGGCGCCGATTCCTGACAGTTTGCAGAGCTTGGGCTCACAGCTCAGCGAGAGAGCAGGGGTACCCACGCACCGTCGCGGGCTTGGACGTCCACTCCGGCAAAGCCCTGCGAGGAACTGCGGGCGGGGCAGGGCGGAGGCTGCCTCCCGGCGCGTCCCCGGGTGCAGTTGACAGCGGCGCCCAGCGCAACCCCCCGGCGGGAGGTGCCTCGGGATGTAACCATCTGATCCCTTCCTTCCCCCCCCCCCCCCACCCCAAGCGCTGACTCCATCCGCCTCCCCGCCCCCTGCTCAGCGTCCCGGCCAGGCGCGAAGGGAGGGAACGGGCCGGAGACTGCATCATTCTGCACCGGCTGCAGCACAGCCAGAGGGAGCAGGTGGAGCAAGACGCGAGCCGCGAGCCGCGAGCCGAAGCGCGCCGGGCCCGGGGGGAGACTGCAGTGACGCTGCCCGGGAGACATGGCGGCCAGGCGCCTCTGAATAAGCAGAATCCCGAGCCCCTCGCCGCCCCGGGCCGCCGCAGCCCTGGCCATGCCGCACGGCTGCTGACCGCACGCAGGGGCAGGCCCAGAGGACACATGCGGCAGCTGCTGCCGCCTTGCCCCTGATCCTCTCCCCTGCGTTCTCCATGTTGCATTTCACGCCAGTTTCTCGGGTAGTGTAGCTAGCTGCATTGCTCTGCTCGTTCACCCAGCCACACTTTTCTTTTCCATTTTGTACCCTTCCTTCCCCATTTCCTGCTCCCTTACCTGCCTGCTTTGCATCCATCTCCCCCACCCTGTCACCCGCCTCCTGCCTCCATCCACCGGGGCTATGGCTGCAGAAGAGGTATTGCAGACTGTGGACCATTATAAGACTGAGATAGAGAGGCTGACCAAGGAGCTCACAGAGACGACCCACGAGAAGATCCAGGCTGCCGAGTACGGGCTGGTGGTCCTGGAAGAGAAGCTGACCCTCAAACAACAGTATGACGAGCTGGAGGCTGAGTACGACAGCCTTAAACAGGAGCTGGAGCAGCTGAAAGAGGTGGGTTGTGTGTCACCTACTCCCTTCTCGGGCCCGGTCTCCAGTCCTCCCCTCCCCCCCAACGCCCACTCATCATTTATAAAGAAGTCGGAAAAGATGCTATTGAAAGGACTGTTTCTTCATCTTAGAGCTCTTTGTTGATAAGAGAAGATTGAAAGAGTCCATTGTTTTTTCCCACAAGAGGAAAATTGCCCAGGAAATGAATGTATAAGCTGGAATTTGGGATGCAATAGCTGTGGGGGAGGGAGAGTCTTAAGAGTCTTGAAGTCTCAGCACTCTTAAGGCGACATTCAAGTAGGTTGGAATGTGTAAATCAAACTTCTGAAAACTGCTGTTAGTGCAAAGCCAGGTTTCGGTGACAATCCCATAATCCACAAAGGCGATAAACAGGCTTGTGCTGAGGACCCACAATTTCAGGAGGTAGAATCCGTGGCACCTCTCAGCCTTCTGCTGAATGTAACCTCTCTGATGAGAGAAGGAGCTGTTAGAACATCCCGCCAATCCCACCTGACAAAGGCCGGGCAATCTTGCTTTTCCTTGGCTTTAGTTATTCTTGTCAACTGGCTGCGGGAGAAAAACAACTCTGCTGGGTGATCCCCGCTGCCTTGCTGTCACCTAAGTGAGGCAGGCTGGGCCTTGCACAAGTCCTATAAGGTCACCCTGACCAGGGAAATTTTATCTTCCCTACCCAATGGTCTGAAGAATGGTATAGATCAAGTACGTGGGTAGCTGTGCATTTCAAATGAGGCTCTTGTTTTGGAAATGGCTGTATTTGTCCAACTGGAATATCACAAACACTTGTCCTCTTTAATCTTTTGGCATTTGGCTTCTTTGAAAGACTGGCTAATGGAAGAAAATACTGAATATGCTTTGATTTCCTATCAATATACATATTATTGAAGGAACTCAGCCTTGTTTTATCTGATTCCTGAGGCACTATGGGTAGCAAGTAACCAGTTATAAATTATTTAAATGTACACACAGCTTTTCTTTGTGGCAAGTCTTTATTTTTAGGTGCATATTGGCATTTTAAATGTTAATCTTAATTTGATATATAATATATCAATAATGTTTTTTCTTATAATGTTCTCAAACTGTTTTTTGGGGAGGGACGTATTGTTTTGAGTTGTTACAAACATTATTTATGATATAACTAATCAGCTTGACTTCTGATTTAGTACATAATATGGGAAGCATTTATACTTTTAGGTACATCTTATTTTTATTCTGATGCCTAAATGCCAAAAAATAAATGTAAAAATCCTACCTAAAAATCTGATTTTTGTGTATCAGGCTGTGCATTTCTAGTTCATGTTTGTCTTACCATGTACATGTCTTAACAATAGCTGGACTTACTGATATCTTCCAACTTAGATTAGGTCCTAGGCTGATATGTTCAAATTCAGTGATGCTAAACCTTGTGAAGTCAGGAAAAAGGATGGTGATTGTAATTCTCAGAGATGTTTTGTTGCTGAGATATTTTGATGTTGTCTACACCTATCAACACTGCTTTGCCAAGACAAGGAAGTACAAACCAGTCAGTGTTAAGCCATCACCTCCTTGATAAAGAACGGAGACTTAATTTAATGAAATTTGATGAAAAGGAGTATAACTGTTAACTGACTTTCTGCTCCATTTAAACAACTCTTCTAGGGTTTTGTTTTCTGTGTCATCGCCCTTACCTTGCATAGTAAATGTTAATACTGTTACTAGACTATGAGCTCTTAGGCAAGGAATCTGTCTTAATTTACTTTGCACCCAAAGTCTTTAACACAGAGTCTAACATAGTGAGTGTGCAATAAATATTTTATGAAAGAATAAATTTATACTGGAAGAAGATACCTTTATCAAGCATTCACTAGTCAGTATTGGTTAGTGTCAGAGAAAAGACTAAAAAAATTAGAAAGTATAGGAAGTGACTAGTGTTAAAAACTACCTGTATTACTTTCTTCAGCAATAATGGGAAAAATGAGAAACCAGTGTTTTGTAGGAATAGTATAACACTGGTTTCTTAATACAGGATAATGCAAATACCAATTATAATTTTTTCTATAAAAATTTTGAGGCATATTTTTTTCTGTATAGCAGGAGCTTAATAAGAATTTATCAGGATGATATTTACCTAATGATACTTGTTTACATGTGTGTTTTGAGTTGCAGTTAGCATAAATGTAATGCAGTTTTAGGTTCCTAATGACTGGATTATACAATTATATACCAGTATGGCAATAAAATAATCATTATACTTCATTATTTGATAGTGAGACCTGTTATTTTTATCTTTTAACTAACATCATGTGTGCTTAGTTTGGAGAGTTATTTAAATGAGCTAAATCAGTCTCAATAATTCTTCCTGTTTAAAAAGTAAATCCACAATAATTGTGCAAACGAAGATATTCTAGTGATGATGTCACACAGAAGTCATTTTTGAAAAATATGCTTTGTGAGTGCTCTGATTTTTTTAAAAGAAAGTTTTGTTCATATTTAGGTATATAGTAAATGATGTTGTATTATATCTATGAAGCCAAGTATAAAATAAACCTTTGGCTTATTTTTAGGCTCTATCAACAAATATGATTCATTTACAAATAATTGGACCAGTTTATGGGAATGTCAACAGAAAAATACTGTACTAAGCCCATGTTGGGCATTGGTAATTTTCAGTGTGGCAACATGGCTCAGTCTTGACAGGTTGTTTTGTTTCTGAGAGTCAGCACCCACTGCTTTCCTCCCCAGGCTGTGTGCTGTTAGGACAATAATACGAGTGAGCAGTGTTGCCTGAAGATGTGCAAATAAATTAAGATAGTGAGGTCATTAGTTTTTTTCTAGCCATGTCTTTTCTCAGTCCAGATTGCTTTTTGGCCTGGCTTGATATCATTTAGGGCTCTGCTCTGTGCCTACATGATTGCTGTAATTCTATTCCCAAGAGAACACGCTTCAAAGAAAAGTACTAAGGATCTGAAAAAAAGATGACTTCTGATGTCATCATGTTCTCCTTTTCATTATCCTTGGTCAGCTGGACAAAGCCACATGTCCACTACAATACTTGACCATGGCTTTATGATTTCGCAAATTATACTTGCTTTTCAGTGACGAGAGAGGCACGCATGCCCAGTTCTGTTCAGGGCCTGGATGATTTTATGTTTGGGATGTGCATGAATCAGCACGGCGTCTGTCCCCAGACCAAAATAGTGTTTCAAGAAGAGTCATTATTCTAAAATAATTGGAAAACTAAAAATATACATACATTTTTAAAAAAAACCCTAGAATTTAAATTTAAGTTATTTTTTTTAAACTTAAAAAAGTGGTCGAACTTTTAAATATAGTCAAGTTCAAAAAGATCCTAGAGAAAGGAATGATTCAGCATTTCTGGTAGCATTTTAGAAAACATCCGCATGACAATTTTAGAAAAGTTTTGCAGCTAGGTTACAGTAGACTATGGACTAAGAATTTTCAACTCATTTTCTCAAACCTGATCCCAAGGACAGACAGCAGCTGCTGAAGAAGCACTTTCTGGGCGTTGAACAGCTTCTTCTAGAGACAACTTTATGGTTTTTCAGGGCTACAGGGAAACCATTCAAGAAATAAACATTGACCTTACATACTTTTAGAGACTGTCACATTAGGGACCTGATAAAAGCCATTTAATTACCTGGCTTCATCTCTAAAGAGCTAATATTTTACCTTCATATGTTTAGAAACATTGTTAGCTTCTTTATGTCTGTAAATTCTAATCATGAAATCATATTGGGTGGGGGGAACCAGCTTCCTTTTCTAACCTATGAATAGACATATAGAAAGTTAATACCTAATTTATTTAACTAAGCTAATATGTATATTTAAACATGCAGGTAATTATAATAATTTCAAAATTGGAACACAATGTCTACAAAGTACAAAAGTGTATTTAAGGGGACAGTAAGGCAGAATATTTGTAAGCATGAAATTCTGAAAAAAAAATCTTCAAACCATGACTGCTGTACGTGTTCATGCAGACATGGTGAATGTGATGAAAGATTATAAAATCTCGCTAAATGATATCTGAGGAATAACTATGTCAGAGATGAAATGTTGAGTTGAAATAAAAAGAAGGGATGATGCAAGGTAAAGCAATTGAGTGGGGAAAAATGTGTTTGAAAGTTATTATGTTTGTTTGTTGAAGTTTATAAACCATATGTTGATATATTTTAGATGTTTTAATTAATTTGATAATATATGTGATACTAATAAGTATTTCTTCTTGAAAAACAATAAGAAAAAACATAGTAAAGGACTGTCTCACACATAAGGTTAGACCTGTAAATATGGCTTTGAAGGAGAGGAGGGCATGAAGAGATGCAGTCTTACTATTAAGTAATTAATTACGCGGAAGGAAAGGCATGTGAAGTCAGGTGGCAGGAGATGAAAGTGGGAAAGTGGCAGTAGCCACATTTTGTCTTGGGAATGGGAGACCATTAAAAGGAAATGCAAGGAAACACTTAGTAACTGTGTTTGGTGCCTGAGGTCTTATCTCATTTAATCTTCAAAGTAACTCAGAGGCTTAGTGCCCATTTTTACAGATAAGAAAATAATAAAAATAATAAAGCATTGAACTATGTACAAAGCTCCATTTAGGACTAGGTGCTTTCCATGTCTTACCTCTGATTCTTATAATCACCCTTCTACAAGGTAGTATTACTTGAATTATACAGAAGAAGAAGGTACGTAGGTCTTAGGTTAAGGATTCTTCTTAAAGCCACAAAGCTAAGTAAGTGGTGAAACCTGGTTTGGGGTGGAGCCTACTTTCTTATCACTTCACCATACCACCTGCGAGGGTGAAACATCTGTCACAACTGAAGTTTAGAAGGTCATGGCTGGGTCACAGAGGGTGGATTGGAGCTGTTCAGAGGCAATAGGGATAGTGAGGAGGGGACAAATCGAAGATCTATTTAGGATGTGTAGGATGGAACTTGGTGTGGGCTATGACTGGAGGTGGAAAGTGAGGAAAGGAGTAGAGTTAA